AGCCAGCTATAGTCTGATATGACAGTCATTAATGAGGTGTCACCACTAGACCAGCAGCATAGTACCACCAGGGAATTTGTTAGACGTGCAGATCCTCAGACCCCAACCAAATCTACAAAATTAGAAGTTAGAATTAGGAATTCTGGGGGTTGGTCCATGCAATCTGTTTTAACAAACCCCCAGGTGATTCTGATGTATGTCAAAATAGGAGCCACTAGTTATTGGATAGATTGCAGAGAGATGGGTCTATGGTTTGATTACAACATTAACCATATTACTTTATGTTTCAGTTTTTCTATACTGATGTAGCCCAGGTAACTCTTGGTTTGAAACTTCACACACATAACCTTCTCAGCCTCACTCAGGGATCCTACTGAGAATATGCATGGCCTCCATGGGGAATGGAAAGAATGAAACTGGACATCCCTAACTGCTTCAGTATGACATTTTTACATTTTTCCAAAAAGAAAAAAACTAGTTCAACATACTAGGTCAGATTACATATACAAAGGTCTGGATTTCCCCAAAAACAATGAGTGGAAAAATAAGCAAATGAGTAAATATTAACATTGTGCATTGATGGGCATCCTATTATGGATTTGAAAACAAAAACCAAGGTATCTGGATGTTATCACAGAATGAATTATGTAAGAGATGGGGAAGAACTGGGAATTTGTCAGGAGCAGCATGCTTCCCTTCTTAAAATTTTCATTTATAATATTTGCATCTTGTGTTTTTATAAAAGGAAGAATAAATGTTTTTTTATTTCTTAGTTCTAGAGAGTTTCTCTTGTCTTTTCTCCTACCTACCATTCTAATCATGTACTTGCACAGATTGGCTCACCCACTTTATTGACTTTTTTCCAGCTTAGATATATGCAGCCTGGTAATAAACAGAAGTATTTATTTTCATATGTGGCATGATTAAAAAAGAAAGCTTAATCTTGCTCCCGCCTCCCTCCTCTCCCGGAGGACAAAGTGGGCCAGGCGCCCTCGGCTACGCCGCGCACCCGGTTCCTCGGCCGCGCCTGGCCCTGTGCACGTCAGTCTCGGCGCCCGGGGCCAGCGCCCCCAGAGGCCCAACAGGGCGGCTCCCACAGCCCCGGCCCCAGTCACACCGCTTCTGCCCTCCGCTAAATTCTTGGCCGCTTTAGGATGAGTTGGAAAGTTGGAGAAATGGGCGAGGGAAACAAGCGTTAACATTGTGCTTAATTAAGCACCGAGTCTCACCCAATCCGGGTTAAGACCAGGGGCTCTTGCGACCCCCGTTTGGCAAGTGAAGTTGAGTGATCAGCCCCTTCCATCGCAATGGTCTGGTCGGAGATTCAAACGTTCGTTCATTGATCCGCCCCCCATCAAGGGCACTTTATGGGCCAGTCACTAATGCCAGCCATTCTTGTCAAGAGGTGACTATATCAAGGCCCTACTGAGGGGACATTAATAAACGAAGAAAAAAGTATCACCTTACAACTCCAAACTTTAAAAACTATTTTATAATAGGAGAGAGGTACATAAGTCAATTTAGTGATGATCCAAATTTGCGTGGTGATGCGGGGTCCTTTAGGAAACTTAAATTTCCATGGGTAACAAAACATCCACACCTTTGAAAATTGCCTATTAAAAATAATCTGTCACCTCTAGTTATTGACAGTAAAGTCTCTTCCTTGGAACTTTTAGAGGATTTGTAGCTTTTAAGTTTGACAGCTGTGCCCCCAGAGAAGCAGATAATCTTCATCCCTCCGGTTTCTTCATTTTGGTAAGAAAAAGGAATTTTAAGGACTCCACTATGATCTACTTCACTAGTACATTAATACCGTTGTTGAATAAAGGAAACTTGTTGGCTTGGGATTTTTTCCTGTCTGCCCCAGCAGCTGATAAGTCTTGGGAGTCGAAGGAATCGATTAGCAAGAAAATCTAGCAATCTATAAAAGAATCCAGGAGGTTAAATAATCAGGCCACTTTCTCTGAGGTTTGTTGACAGAAAAATAATTAACAACTTGAATTCCTACCTGTGCTCAAGGTACTGAGTTAGATACTAGGACTGGTACAAACAAGAATAAAACATGCTTCCTTCTTTCAGTGTAGGCATAAATCAGAAACTGGGTTTTGGGGATTTTTTTTTTTCTTTCTTTTTTTGGTATGCCTACAAGATACTGAGAACACAAAAAGTGAATTCTTTACACCTACACATCATCTTTTCCGTCCTTCTAACTTCCCAACAGATGAGGTTCAGGAATCCATCCTTTTTTTTTTTTCTTGTGGTTGGTCAGTACGGGGATCTGAGCCCTTAACCTTAGTGTTATAAGGCTGTGCTGTAAGCAAGTGAACTAATCGGCAAGCCCAGGAATCCCTCCCTCTTAACCACTTTCTTTTTAGCTCAGCATTGTCAGCCTCAGGGGTGGTCTGGACTGGTAGTATTACTCTCATGCCAGCGATTGGATCAGGATTATGTGTGTTCACCAGTTCACTTCAGTGAATTGCAAGGGTAGGTTTGCAGGATGCTCCCAGAAAAAAGCTTTTCCTCACTATTCCGGGAGAGCTTCCAGAAGTGATTCATACCTCCTCTGGACGTGGTTGAGCTTAGATATATGGCCTGGAATTGCTGCAGTCCTTTTGGTGACAACCTGAGTATGAAGTCAACTCATGAGAGGGTAAAGCCAAAAGAACAGTAGAAAAATGCAGCTGGAATGATGGGATTACATCAACTTTTCAGTCTGTCCTACTTTTGGATATGTAGTTACATGAGTTAATAAACTTCGTGTGTGTATATATATATATATATATATATATATATATATTTTTGTGTGTGTGTCTTTTTTGTGACCGTCCGGCCACTCGGCGCACCGGCCATCCCTATATAGGATCCGAACCCGCGGTGGGAGCACCGCTGCACTCTCAGCGCTGCACTCTCCCAAGTGCGCCACGGGGTCGGCCCGAACTTCTGTATATTTTAAAGCAGTTTTAAGTTGGGTGTTCTTTTACTTCATATGAAAGCTTCCAATATAACAGGGAGCAAAGACATACATGGTATCTGACATCTTATGATTAGGTGGGGAAGGTAAACAATCAAATATCTTGGTAGGATTGTGCTTCAAATAACAAAAAACTGGATGACAGTGACTAAGTAAAAAGAGGATTATTTTTCTTGTATAAGAAGTCCAGAGTTAGGCACTCCAGGGCCGTTGCAGCTCTTTGAGAATATCAGCAAGGATCTAGGCTTCTCGCTTTCTGCCTCACCATCCGTAGCCTGTGGCTTTTGTCTTTATGTTTGTAAAATGGCCCTACACTTTACAGGCATGTGTCCATAGAAGGAAGAAAGTAAAAGGGGCAAAGGTATGTATGCCAGCTGAGTATGTTTCTTTTGAAAACCTTTGTCAGAAGCTCTACCCCTAGACATAGGCTTTTTAAGAGATCATGATCACCTCTACATAATTCCTGAACTTGATAACACCAAGGTCCAGGGTTCAATCCCTGTATGGGCCAGCTGCCAAAATAAATGAGTAAATAGGTAAATAATCCCCCCTTTTAAATTTTTCTAAAAATATTTAAATTTTTAAAAAATATTTTTGCATTTTAAAGGTTAACAAAAGAGGGAGGCGTAATCAATGATGTGTCCCTATCACTTTTCCCCTCCTGAATAGTATCCAAGTTCGATTACTCCAGTCATCAGGAGAGCCATCATTCTGAGTAGCTAAATTAAATGTCAAGCTCCATAAAAAAATAAATAAGATACAACAATCAGTAATACATTGAGCTTTCATAAGGGAGAGAACAGAACTGTGGCTACTAGAGGTGGGAAAGGGGATGGGGACTAGTGAGAAGTTGGTAAAGGGTCACAAAAAATTATTTCATTTTCTAATAATGAATATACTAATCCTGTTTTGATCATCACATATTGTACATAGTTACCGATATTCAACTCTGTACTCCACAAATATGTATAATCAATTATGTTTCAATAAAAAAAAAGTCAAGCTCTTGGCAACAATTATTGCTATATCTTGTATTTTCTGTGATGATAGGCTTATGGCAGGTACTTAAAGAGACAGGGTGTATTAGTCCACTTCTGTTGCTTATAACAAAATACATGGTGATTTATAAAGAAAACAAAATTTATTGTTTACAGTTTCTGAGCCTGGAAAGTCCATAGTCCACCTGGTGGTGGTGACAGTGACTCAGGGATCTCACATTGCAAGATGGCAGAGCAAAGAGAGAGGGACTCTCCTCTTTTTAAAGTCCTCAGAACCACACCCCTGACCACCATCTTTAATCCATTCAGTACTTCATGGTCCTACAATCCAGTCACCTTTGAGGCCCCACCTTTCTTTTTTTTTTTCCTTTTTTTTTGGTCTTTTTTTTTTACTGACCGGCAATGGGATTGCAACCCTCAGTGTTGTGCCTGCACCGCGCTCAGCCAGTGAGCGGGAACCGGTCTCCACATGGGATCCGAACCCTCTCGGCGGGAGCGCCACCGCACTCCCAAGCGGGACACTCTCCAGTGCACCACCGGGCCAGCCCGAGGCCCCACCTTTCTTTTTTTTTTTCCTTTTTTTTTGGTCTTTTTTTTTTACTCACCGGCAATGGGATTGCATCCCTCAGTGTTGTGCCTGCACCGCGCTCAGCCAGTGAGCGGGAACCGGTCTCCACATGGGATCCGAACCCTCTCGGCGGGAGCGCCACCGCACTCCCAAGCGGGACACTCTCCAGTGCACCACCGGGCCAGCCCGAGGCCCCACCTTTCAATGACTGTAATAGGATTTCCCACCCTCTTAACAGTCACAGTGGGGGATAAGTTTCTAATACATAGAACTTGGGGGACACAGTTCAAGCTTCAGGGAGTTTTAGGGGACATAATTCAATCTACTACAGAGGGTTAACTGATGTTGAGGAAAAGTTGCAGAAGTTGGCTAGAGCAATGGATGGACAATAGATATTATTAGGAAGCTGTAGTTTCTCATATAAGCGGAAATAGTTATGCACAGAAGTAAAA